ACAGGAAACACGACCAGATGAGCTAATTCTACTTTATTGCAAGGCTACATTAACAGAATCTTGCAAGTCTGAAAGCACAAATATCCTGCTGTCTTCTTTACAGCCTGAGAATCTAGGGAGGGTCCCTTCTGAGCCTTTTTCTCTGCCCATTATTCATCTGATAGCTATGCCCTCTCTTATCTTACTGTTCCCTAGGTAGCATCTCTTCACCCTGTCTCTCAAGGTCTTTCTCACATATCATTACAACAGCTGAAATCCTGGTCTTTTGTATGTCCATGTGACTATGAGGATAATAGTCTATATTAGGCTTTACTCACAGTTACTCGTGCCCTGTTCACCTCTAGGATGGATTACTGTAATGTGCTGTGCATGGGGCTGCCCTTGAAGAGTATCCAGAAGCTTCAGCTGGTGCAAAATGTGGCTACATGGACAGTTACATGTGCCCCTAGGATGGCGCACATTACGTCTCTGTTCTGCAAATTGCATTGGTTGCCAGTCTGCTTCTGGATGCAATTTAAGGTGCTGGTTTTGACCTTTAAAGCTCTACATGGGATCAGGTTATCTGAGGGACCGCCTCTTCCCCATTACATCTACCTGTCCCATCGGGTTGAGCAGGAGGGGTATACTGTGGGTCCTGTCTACTAAGAAGTTACATCTGACAGGACTCAGGTGGTGTGCCTTTTCTGCTGTGGCCCTGCCCTGTGGAATGTCATTCCACGTGAGGTGAGATCAGCCCCATCCTTGCTTGCCTTCTGGAAAGCCCTCAAAACATGTTTTTTCCATCAACCTTGAGGGGTTCCATGGTGAGCCAGCAAGATGGTTGTGTGATGTTAAGTAATGGTTGTCTCTCCCACTATCTTGAGTTTTATCTTTTTTGTTTTCCTGTTTTTACTTAGTGTTTTATGACGTTTTTTGTCTTTATGTCTCATGCACTGCCCAGAGTCATTCTTTGTGAGATGGCCAGCTATATAAATTTGTTAAACAAACAAACAAACAAATAATAATGGTCAATTCCACCTGGAAACTTATCTGAATAACTACTAAATTTAAGATTGTTGTTAGGTTCAGTAGTTGCAGAATCTATATTGTGTCTGTTTGGAAGTTATCCATAAGTTGTGATGCAACTATAAAATTTGCCTAATTTATTTAGGTTAGCAGTTATGATAAAAGTTTGTAGCTATTCATCTGAGAGATTAAATGTGCATCAGGAATAAATATTTGCTTTTAACTCTACAATGCTATTCTTGTCTCTGTGCAAAGCTTGCTCTGCAGGCTTCACCACATGCTTTTGCCTGCTTCATCTGCTCTCCATGACTTAGAATTGGAGTATATTCATTCATTCAGGTGCCCAGTGAAGAAACCTTATCATATAGGCTTCTATAATGTGCCAGTTGCAAACTTTCCTCTCCCTCTCCTGGAAGATGGCACAAAAGTATAATGTGAAAGTGATGGAGAGGGAGGGGTTGGCAGTATCTCTGTAACTGGTGCAATTTTACAAAGGAATGAAAGAATAACCCCCTGATCTTCTTAAATCTTCGTCTATTTTTTTTTTCAAAATCCACATTAGCTAAATTGAATAAAGAACCAAGTGACATGCTATATTGTAGCTCAACTTTCTCCAAACTGGTGCTCATTTCCAAAGACATTCTCCTAATTCTTCCTAAATCTCAAAAAGTCCTGTTGTATGACATATCCAGAAAATATTAAATTGGGGATGGCTGGTGTTAAGAGTTCCATCCAAATTCGGTGATTCCAGCAAGGAAGGCATCATATTTTTATTCAGTTTGCTTCTGTAGCTTATAACTGTAAACTTTAATAATAGAAACCTCAAGCAATAATAAAACAAACATTAGTTTACCATCAGATAGATCTATGATCTTCTCTTTCTCCAGGCAGCTATGGGTAAATGCCCTCTGCATTTATGTGATCATTATGAACTCACATCAGAAAAATAATAATAATAAAAAACATTATTACTGAAAGAAACATTTGACTTGCCTTTACAGACAATATCTTTTTGGATACCTTGCAATAATCTCATGAGTGAAGGGGAAAAAATGCTTTGGAAAGATTAAACAGAATCTAAAGCAAGTGTGGGTTCACTCCTCAAGCAAGTATATTCCAAATGTTTTAATCAAAGGAAACTTGCCTTGTCTTCTTCTTACAGCCACCTTTTGGCATGGTTGGTAGAGAAGGTAGCAAGCCATGTTGCCAGCAATAGGACATAACTGTTAAGAAGAAGCCTTAGTTCATGATCCTTTACCTCTAATTCTCTATGGCTGTCTGCTAGACAAGAGGATCTGCACACGCTGTGCATCTCAGTGATAGAAGAATAACAATTTCCAAGAACATAAACCCATCTGGTCCACAGCCATCTAGTTCCATTCTCTCTTAGTCAACTTGGATTTCATAGATATTCTTCTATCCAAGTATTAACCAGGATAACATCATTATGATAAGTAATGGTGGGGAGATGTATCATCCATGAATTGGTCTAATTCCCCCTTTAAGCTCTTCTGAATTGAAGTCTGTCTGATTTAATTTTTACTTATTGTATTCTAATAGCCAAATAAGTTCTTTCCTGGACCCATAATAGAAATGTCTGATTAGCTAGTTGCTACCTTCCATCAAAAACATCACATAACCTTTAACGAGCATTGAAGAAACATAATCTGGTCCTCATTGCCCATCAAAGTAACTTCTTTAGCTATCCAAAACTTTCTATTTCTATACTTGACCGCAGACGATGCCATATGCCATTCCTGTTACAGATATTTAGGAATACAATAATTGAACAATGCCATCCATGAGCAGC